TGGTCCACTTGTCCCGGCAGTGATAGGCGGCGCCCGGCACGTTCCTCCTGCGCAGGTGGTAGGTGATGGCACAGAAGGAGACGGACACGGCCAGCAGCGGGAGCATGTAGGAGAGCAGCAGCATCAGGCACGAGTACAGCAGCCGCTCCCTCTCCTCGTGCTTCCAGAACTCCTCGCAGATGATCATGTCGTGGCCGATGGCGTTGAGGTCCAGGTAGTGGGTGTGCAGCGAGGTGGGCACAGAGGCCGCGATGGAGAGCAGCCAAATGCAGGCCACGAGGCCGGCGCAGGCCCTGCGGCCGATCCGCCTGCGGATGGGATACGCCACCACCACGTAGCGGTCGATGGCGATGGCCGTGAGGGACAGCACCGACACAAAGACGGTGGCGGCCTGCAGCAGGGTGACAAAGTGGCACATGAACATGCCGAAGAGCCAGCCCCGCTCCTCGAAGGCGTAGGACACGGTGAGGGGGACGCAGGCCAGGCACATGATGAAGTCGGCCGCGGCCAGGTTCCCGATCAGGAAGTTGGTGGTGCAGTGCAGCTTCTTGGTGAGGGCGATGAGGAGGATGAGGAAGAGGTTCCCGATGCACGCCACCACCACCAGCGTGGTGTAGAGCGGGATGAAGAGTGGCTTCAGCTCCAGGAGCAGGTCCAGGCCCGTGAAGATCAGGGCTGAGTCGTTGTGCCAGGAGTCATTGGGCAGCTGAGCCATGGGAGCCCCTGTGGCTGATGCAGCTTCTCCACAACTCAAAGTCAAACACAGATGAGCCTGTGAGCTCTGGAGGGCACACAAATACATTTTGGCTGAACTTCTGGGCAGAAGGACCTGTCCCAAGTGGGCATGGCCTTTTGCACAGCCTGTGCTGAGGCACTACTGGCTGGTTTAAATGACTTGCTTAAGAGTGAAGATGTCCTGTGACAGACACAGAGGAGCTCCGGTATGGAGGAGAGTTGGGAAGCTGGCTGTCAAATAGTGAAGCAGCCAGCACAGATCTGTGGGGAGCTGACAGCTTGGGGCAGCAGGACCCAGAAATCAGCTCGAGAAACCTTATGGAGAGTTTCTACTTGGGAGCTGAGCTGACTTAAGGCAGAAAAAAAAAGACACTCCTGCATTTCTTGCTTTTTATTTTTCTCAGTTTCCCACCCTGACCCACCATCCCCATGCCACCTGGCTGGGCAGGGAAAGGAGCATCCTTTCCATCCCCTGCACTCCTGTGTCTCTCCCAGCCAGCTCACCCCACCCCAACCCAACCCATCCCACTGGGTTCCTTTATCCCCTTGGTTATATCTTCATCACCCATGGAGCTTTGGCTTCTCCTGTCTTTCCCTGTGGCAGCTGTGATGGGAGGGAGGGAAGGAGGGAGAGCCTAGCTCCCTGGGCACCTCTACAAACCCACTCAGGGGGAATGAGGTGAAATGTATTCCAGCAGAAAGTGTATGGAAATTAAGAGTTCCCCTCCAGGACCCTCCTTTCAAGTCCCACACTCTCAAAAATTATTGTTTGATCCCCCTTGCCAGGATCTGGACAGCCTTTTCTCCCCAGTGGAGAGTCAAATCAGCATTAATTAAGAAACCCTTGTAATTAACCAAGGGATATTGAGGTTTTCTACATCCCAGCTGCACTCACAAGGCGCACGCTGTGATACCACAGCTCCAGGTCCCCATGCCCTGCCTGGGGCAGGAGCACAAAATCCATCAGGAAACTTGCAGCTGAGGAGCCAAAATGCTCATTAACTTACAGAATGAAAATTCTGAAGCTCAATTAAATTCTTTAATTCTGCTTCGTGTACCCACGAGAGTCAAACCAGCCCTTCTGTGTGTGCATCGCCAGGCTCCTGCTCCCTCCCCGATAAATGCTGCACCGCGCGGCTCCGGCCGGGGTTTGGGGGGTCCAGGGTGTGGCTGCGGGACCCCCTGTCCCAGTCCGGAGCTCTTACCTGCCGAAGGGTCCGGAGTGCTCGGGGCCGGGAGCCGCCCACTGCCCGCCGATGTTCCCGTGAGGATGAGGAGGAGCGTTCCCTTCGCGGGGTGTTCACCGGGAGACTCCGGCACAGCCGATCTCAGCCGGGCTTTTGTAGTGTGGGGCTTTTGTTGTCTTGCCTTGTCTTTCTTTATTTTTTTTTCCCCGCTGCCTGAGCCTTTCAGTCCCGGAGGAACAGGACGTTCCCACCCCCGGCGCTGGGTGTTCCAGGTACCCGGGGGGACGCGCACATCCCACCGCAGGTGGAGCCGCATCCCGCCCCCCGGCCCGGCGGGGAGCACCGGGGGGCTGCGGGGAGCCCCTCCCTCGCCCTCGGGGCCGGATCCGGGCACATTCTCCCGGCAGGGAAGGAGGGGAAGGCGCGGAGAGGACGGGGCGGGCGAGCGCGGGGACCCCGCGGAGCTCCCGGAGTCGGCAGCGCCCGCCCCGTCGGGGGGTCCCGGCCCGGGGGCGAGGGAAGAGGGGGTGAGGGCAGAGTGCGGTGAGGGTGGCCCAGCCGTAGGGTGATGGGCACCCAGCCCCGGGGTGCTGGTGGCCCAGCTGGGGGGGCAAGTGTAGGATGGGGTGAGGGCGGTCCAGCCATTGTGAATAGCCCCAGATGAGAAAGGGTACCAGGGTCAGCCTTACTTTAATAAGGGAAAATGATACATAATGATCACCCACAGGAATTTTGGGGGGATAAGAGGAATGGAAATTTGCAGAGCAGTCACAGAAAATTGGAAGTTTTGGTGCAAGAGGGTGATTAATTCATCCCAATCTGATGGAGCTGGGCTGGTTATTAAAGCTGGCTGAGCCGATCAAGAGGAGACTGCTCACCCCTGCCGAATAATCAGCAGGAAGAAAAATCATCTTTGTCTCCATATCAGTGCCTGACGAGAGCTGCTGTTAATTTTAAAGAGCAGAACAATCAGATTAGGAGAGCCAGAGGCTGGTTTGAGAGGAGAGCTGGGCTTTGGAGCTGACTGCAGGATGCTGAGTCCAGCCCAAGGCAGGCACAGCCTCCATCCACACCCGGATGCCCCACGGCCAGGGTGACCTGGCTGCAGCACTGGGAGCCCTTCCCTCTGCACAGGCTCATCCTGGAAAAGCCTTCTTTGACATCCTCTTTGCTGCTTCCAGAGCCTGCAGAATAAATCACTCTTATTCCCAGAGCTCGAATTGCCCTGCCCCAGGTCCTGGCTCAGGGATACAAGGATGGGTTTGAAAGCTGCAGCCCACCCTGATGGTCAAGCTGGAGGTGCTGGAGGCCCCTCCTGTGGCATCCTGGTGTCCCTCCCAACCCATAGAGATGATGGACAGGAATCAGTTTGCTGTGATTTTTATTCTTTTCCATGTCACCGGGGTGGTTTTTAGAAATAACCAAAAATCCCTGAGACCTTGTCAGTTCCAAAGGAGGATGGAATATTTAATGGCCATAAGCTGAAGGAGGGAAGGTTTGGGTGGTTAGCAGGAAAAAAAATCCTTCCCTGTGAGGGTGCTGAGGCGCTGGCACAGGGTGCCCAGAGAAGCTGTGGCTGCCCCATCCCTGGCAGTGTCCAAGGCCAGGTTGGACAGGGCTTGGAGCAGCCTGGCATAGTGGAAACTGTCCCTACCCACAGCACAGGGTAGAACTGGATGAGCTTTGAGGTCCCTTCAAACCCCAAACCATGCTAGAATTCTGTGATTCTCAGCAGCACCACAGGGTGTTGCCACCTCATGCTTCTGTGGGATCAATTCCTTTGGCTCAAGCTTGTGGAGAACCACATTTTTTTCCCATTTGGATGGGTGGAAGGCTATCCTTGCTGCCCAGAATGCTCTGTCAGCCCTGCCCTCCCCTTGCTCTGAGAAGGCAGCAGGTGAATCGTGTTAGATACTTTATTCTGCCCCATTTTGAAAGCAAACCCCTGCCAGGCTGGGGCTGCATCACCACATGGGCTCTCCACTGGCTTCCAGGGGTGCAGAAATGCTGCTTCATGCAGAGAAAAAGGTAAAATAATGTCTTTAAAAGGTACAAAGGGGCAAGGGGCTGCTGCTTCCTTTGTGATTTACTCATTTATCCTGCCTGAAAGTCATTCCCTGTATCTGCCTGTGCTTCATGGTCTGGACCTGATGCCACCAGGCACCAGAGCTGCAGATCTGCCTGTGCCTCTGAGGATGGGCCCCTTCTGTGTCCCTGAGATGTCACTGATGTCCCCTCTGGGCTCAATTGTTAAAAACAGGCTGCCCAGGGCAAGGGTAGAGTGCCCAGCCCTGGGGGGATTTTAAAACCATGTGGCTGTGGCACTTGGGGACACGGGTGGGCTCAGCTGTTCTGGGCTTGGATTTGATGATCCCAGAGGGTTTTTCCAGCCTCAACAATTCTCCCTCGGTGGGAGTTATTTCCACACACAGGAAGATTGGTGTTGATGTAGAAGCAAAACCCACCCCTAGTGAGGCTGCTGCTTTTACCAGCAAGAGTTGGTTTGGTGCAGAGGAGCTCAGCAGTCTGTTTTTCCCAAAATAAACCCAAATACTGGGAGGTAAAGCTCTTGCTACTCGAATCATGTGTGACATCACCAAGTGCAACAACATTGCTTGGACACATCACACTCCTATTTACAGATTCAGTGATTTTGTAAAAAAGTTTTAAAGGGTTTTTTATGGTGATTTAAGTACAGACTCACCCTAAGTCTATACTCTCAGTTATAATTTAATTATATATAATTATATTTATGTAACTATATTTATTATATATGGGAGGGGAAAAAAAGTTAACTCTACATAAAGGATCCATTTAAGGAAATTATTGCTCAACCTTTACAATTATCAGTTGGATTTTCTTTTGCCCCACATGTTTCCATAGAGCAGGTCAGAGAATCTTGGAATGGTTATTATTTTTACGAGTGAAATGATAAGAGCTGTTCTCTCAGGTCCCTTCTCCAAAGGAAATGCCTGGTGATATGGATATGGAACAATTTCAGCACAGTTCTTTTGGGTACATTTCTTCCTCAAATATGTTTAAGAACAGATAAGATAATATAAAGCATCCTCACAGTGCTTGCTACCCATAAGAAGAATTTTATTGACTGGGAAATAGGCTGGGGACAAAGAAATTACTGCTTTCTCTCTCTGCACAAACCATTTCTGGGAACAGCTCAGAGTTCTGCATCTTTGTCACAGCTTTGTCACATCAGGTGAGAGAGATCTGCACAAGGACACAGACTTAACATAACAGAGGACAGTTAAAGCATAAATTAAAGGGGACATTTAATGAGCAAACCAGCAAGACACGAGGCTTGTGCATCACTGGCACTCAGATGATTCACCCCATTCCTCAAGGTTTAAAAAACAAGGGATTGTTTTAATGGAGAATTCTGAGCCTGACATTTTTGAGAGGTGAGCTGGGGTGGGAGTTGCACCAGGAAAGCTGATGGTGGGAACAACCTCTGAGTTGTGACACGGTGACTAAGAGAGCAGCGCTTCTTTTTGGGTACAGAGACAGGAAACTGGGAGGCTCCAGCAAAAATTTACTCCTAAAAAAGTATTTTCAAACAGGTACATAAATGAACACGGCATGAATCCGGTGAGGATTAACCCCTAGAACCACAATTTCCCCTAAGAAGCTCTGACAGACTGTGCTGCTTCCCTCTACCGACCCCCAGTGTTGATGCCGAGGCAGAACACACAGATCAGCGAAAAATCAGCACAATATCACAGATTCTTGGATTAGTAAAAGGAAATAACCCTCTGAAGAGTTAAGCAGGGTGAAAAAAACAATTAAATACTAAATATATTTCAAGTCAGAGAATTCTATGCATGTCTGTGATGAAAACAAGTTGTTTGTAGCCTCCCTAGCTACCCCTCTTGGTTTCCCAATACAGAATCTCATCTGATCTTTTTCTGGAGAGGCTGAACAGGTACAAAACGACCAACAAGAGGAAAAATACTCCCCCTACAGTCTGTAATAGAGATTTTGGGTAATAAAGTGGGATATTAGGGGGTACATTACAGAGAGGAATGTGAAATAGCTACAATGTCAATGACACCATCAATTTATTGACTGCAGTGAGATCTTCCTTCAGGGTCCCAAATTCACAGAGGTGGGAAATATCCATCTTCTTCCTGGCACAGCCTGGGGCCAAGTCAGACTGAAACAGTGAAGATCTGGAGAAACAACCAAAATGGATTTGGCAGGAGAGGAAAAAATGCCCAGCTGAGTAATGAAAAGGTAAAAGACAGGACCAAAGTGACTCAGTGGTTTCTCTGCTCTATTCTAGACCGTGATGTTTTCTGATGCTTCTCCACAACTGCTTTTGTTGTTGTTGTTTAATGTGTCTCCTGATGGATTCCAAACAATCCACATCCAGGCTGGAATGATGAGGTGGCAGCAGGCTGGAGAAGATCCACGTGAGGTTTTGGTACAGGTGTTCCCTCTCGTCCCTACCAGTGCCAGCCACTGCCTGCGGAGCTCCAGAGCTGGGATTTGGTGCGTTGCGGGTTCTTTCTTTTAAAAATTACTTCTTCAATTACTGACTATTTGCTCTGTGCCCCCCTTCCTGCTATTCCTATGGCTGGGCACATCTTCCTGGGGGCTGGGACAAGAGGCAGCCCGGGCAGGGCCGGGGGCTCTCACTGCTCAGCAGCCGGAGGCTCCTCCTCGGCCTCCGGCTTCTCCGGCTGCGGCTCGGGCGGGATGAGGCACTGCACCTCCTCGGAGCTGATGGCCACCTTGTCAGGCTGCAGCCAGCGCTTCAGGTGCTCCAGCGTGCTGGGGACAGCAAAGGGACACCATGAGACCAGGGAGGGACAGAGCCTCACAGCAATGCACAGGAGAAGCGACGGGAAAAGCCTCCACAGGCAATTCCTGCCCCTCTGCAGGTATTCCCATTCCTACAGGTGAGGTCTGGCATGGATGGATCCTGGTGCCACAGGGACAAGCAGAATCTGTCACTCTCCAAAGCCATTCCCTGCAGGCGGGCCTTTGGAAGTGTGGTTAGAACAGGTTTTATGCTCTGATTTCTCTCAGTGTAAAGGACCTGCAGAGGAAACCTTTCAGCCTTTCAGCCTTTACACACCTGAAGTTCTGCTCTGCCTCTGTAGCCAAAGACTCCAACTCCATCAGACAGAGGGCAGGGTTAGATGGGATATGGGAAGAATTCCTTCCCTGTGAGGGTGCTGAGGCCCTGGCACAGGGTGCCTGGAGAAGCTGTGGCCGCCCCATCCCTGGAAATGTTCAAAGCCAGGCTGGATGGGGTTTGGAGCAGCCTGGGATGGTGGAAGGTATCCCTGCCCAGGGTAGGTGGGTGGCACTGGATGGGCCTTAAGGTCCCTTCCAGCCCAAACCAATCTGTGATTCCAGAAGTTTCCAGCTTTCTGGGCTGGAAGTAAAAAAACCTCTTGTTCAAACAAACCAAAACCCCAACTGCCTCTTGGTGATGAAGATCAGGAAATACAGGGGAGGAAGGGTAGGGAACAAAAACAAAGCTGGAAGAAGAATATCTCAAAATGTGTGAGCATTAATATAGTACTGGAAGGTTAAAAAACCAATATAATCCTAACCCTCTAATATCATAATTCAGTGCACTTAAAAGTTAAGGCTTCTTTAATTACATTGGTGGGGGAGACTCAAAACTTCAGCACCATTCAGAGTGACCTCGAACTTCATAGTTAAATTCTAGGGACTGAAATTCTTTCATGGATAACATCCCCATGGATAACCCCCACCACTTAAAAATAGTAGAAAGAGCCCATAAAAGCTTGGTTTTAAATATAAATTGCATTGAAGTTTCTTTGGGGACCAAAGAAACCATCTGAAACCCCCTTATAAACAGGGATTACTTTTCATAGTTCTGGCTTAAGTAGATTTTCTTGAAGGGAGAGAAATAATCTTCTTGTCATCCAGAAGCAATCATGAAAAATGTCAGCTGAGAAATGAGGAATTTGGAGAGCATTCCATGTGATTGGGAATGGGAGATTGCTTAGGGAAAGGGCTCCCATCTTACTTCTGACATCACCTGTGAGAGGGCAGTGGGGGAGAGAGCAGAAGCACTGTAAGAGAGGCAGGGAAGGGAAATCTCATGCCAGGACTGGCACCAACCCCAAATCCCCATCTGAGACATACTGGACATTCCCTCCTCTGCTCCATTCCTTCCCTACCCCACGTGTGAGGAGGGAAATCACTGAGTAGGTCCCAGGTGCTTCCGTGCAGGCTGAGGGGTGCAAAGATCAGAAAGGAGCACTGGAAGCTCAAACCCTACGTGCTCTGTGCTCCCTCTGGCACAACCCCAATGGGTATTTCTGTGTAATGTCCTGACAAAACCTTCTTCCAGTTTTTGAGGGGTAAGTGGTGATCCTTTCCCTCTAATTTGCTTGTTACCTCTCATCAGCATCGTGGCCCTCAACATAACATTCTGCCTCAAACTTCTCCTGCAGGAACCTGTCCCAGCATTCCTTCTTGGCCTGGGACAGCGTGCGCAGCATGTCCTTGGAGGTCACCTCCTGGGACAGGCCCTTGATCCTCATCAGTCTTCTCTCTGTGAGGGGAACAGGGGATTTTGTTACCTTGGTTATGGGTTTTTTTCTGGAAGGAGAGAAGAGAAGGGTCTGGACTTCTATATCAAAAAGAAAGTTAAATTAACTTTTCAAGACTAATTTCTATTTTAAAAGTAATTTTCTCCCTGTATTTCAAGCCTGCCTGGCTTCCTTTCCTATATATGCACAGGATGATTATTTCAGGTGATGCTTCTGAAGGAAATAAGGTTTGTGCAATCAGCCAGCTCTGCCTGTTTGGGGTTTTAATAACTTTCACACTTACTGCTCAGCTCCCATGAAATCACACAGGACGGCACAGATCTCACAGGCACTGAGTTCCCACAATTTCCATGCAAATTGGAAAATAAATCACTCTCATTGCACTATTTGGTGCGCTGTGAAACAGCAACAAAGGCACGATGAAAGTTCTGACAGAAATAAAAGCTTAAAAAGCTACTTCTGCCACCTGTTCTGTTGCTCTGTGCAGCCTCCTACTTATTGTGGAGGGTAAAAAACAACTTTTTTCAGCTTTTGCTTTATAAAAAGTTCATTTCTGTGCCAGAGATGAAGAAGCTCTGACTGAGCTTCACCTTTCCACTGCTGCACTTGAAGAAAATGAGTCAGATTCTGTGTATTTAAGCTGGAAGACTTTTGGACCACAGCAACGGCACCACAAAAACAGAACTGTCACCAGGCAGACACTCACCCAGGGATGCTAAATACACCTCTGAGTCGTTCAGAGGTGCCCAGGGCTTCAGGGCAGGTTGGGAAGAGCCACCCGATCCGCTGCCCTCGGCGTAGGAATCCATGAAGGAGTCTGTGAAAGCATCGCCGGCGTCCTTGTGCTCGGGATGTGGCAGACAGGAGCAGATCTCAGCCCAGAGGTCCTCGCTGGACCGGGTCACCACGGAGTCCACGCTCTCGATCATCCTCATCCTGGGATCCTGCCACGGGGGAAACAAACGGTGAGCGCCGAGCCGAGCCGCCCGCCCAGGCCTCCGCCACCCCCCTCCCTCTGCCCAAGTCACGCCAGCGGACATTCCAGGGAATTCCCATCCCACCAGGACTCCCGGCCGCCCTGCAGGGAGCGATGTCCCCGCGGCTGCCCGTGAGGCGGAGGGGCCGCCCCACTCCCGCACCCACCGCCCGCGCTCCGGGCACCGCGGCAGCTCCACCCGCGCCTCGCCGGCCCCGGACCCGGCCAATCACCGTCGCCATCGGCCCCGGGTCCGACCAATCACCGCCGCCACCGGCCCCGGGTCCGACCAATCACCACCGCCGCTGGCGGAGTGGGGACGCCCATTGGTCCGCAGAGTGGGGGCCGCTGACGCCGCCGCGCCGCCATGTTGGCAGAGGGCGGAAGTTGCGCTGGGCGGCGCAGGCGAGGGCGGTGTGACATCCCCGAGGCGCTGCCGCCCCCGCCGCGGTTCAGCGAGGCCGGGATGTGCTCCAGCGCCACACGGGGAGCTCCGGCGGGGCTCTGAACCACCCCCTCTCTCCGTAGACCGCTGCCGTGTCCGTGGGATGAGCCAGCTGCCGTGCGGCGCCGTGCTGGCACTCATGGGGCTGCTCTTCGCCAGGACCATGGCCTGGACGTCCAGCGGGAAAACGCACGCGGAGCTGGTCAACAACCTGTACAGTGAGTGCCGGCAGCATCCCTTGGAATGGCAGTGCACGGATATTTAATGGCTGTGAATGGATATTTAGTGTCACGCCGTGTGACGCTGCTCACTCGGAAGGGTTGGGGTTCACGTTCCTGAATTTCGGCATTTGCCCCAGCCTGAACTCGTTCTATTTATAGCTGGAAACAAGGTGCTATGCCAGGAGGGGCAGGAGCGCCTCTCCACACCTTCCTTCCCTGCCTCTGGAAGTGTGTGGCGCCCTTTAGAGTGCTGTAGCTCGGTGTTCGAGCCCGGCGGTGCAGCCGAGTGTCCCGCACTTCCAGGCTCTGTCCGAGGGCTGGAATGGTGCCAGGACAGCGGGCTGGAACACACATAAAAATAGCTATAAACTTCCCCAGAATTCCCGCAGAAAGGTGTGAAGGGATGCTGGATGTCTCTGCGGCCGTGGCCCTTGAGTTCACGGCTGAAACCTGAACCGGAGTCTCCGTTTCCCGCCGTGAAACGTGACTCCGGTTCACTCCCGTTACACTTGGCAGTGCCAGAGGCGTTGTGGCTGCAGGTGGCCACCCTCTGGAGCTGGGCTGGTGGCTGGGCCCAAGCAGGAATGGGAATGGATGTCCTTCCATCGGCGTTTGGTTTGCTCTCTCTCTCAGATCCCTCATTAATACCCCCCAGATCCATGAACTCCCTGAAGTGTGAACTTCCCCTTTCAAATTTCTTCTTGCTGGAATGCCCAAAATTTCAGTCCTGCCTGTCTCTTTTTTCCTTCTTTCCCAGAAAAAGGGATTGTTAAGTCTCAGCGAGTCTTCGATGTGCTGTTGGCTACAGACAGAGGTCACTACATCAAGTATTTCCCATACATGGATTCTCCTCAATCCATTGGTGAGTCACTTCTGGCAAAACATCTGCTGTCAGCAGGGCACAAGGTGCCTTGGCAGGTACTCCATGGTTGTGATGTGGAATCCTTATCCCTGGAAGTGTCCAAGGCCAGGCTGGATGGGCCTTGGAGTAGCCTGGTCTAAGGGAAGGTGTCCCCACCCATGGCAGGGACTGGGACTGGATGAGCTTTAAGGTCCCTTCCAACTCAAATCATCCTGTGATTCTGTGAAAGGAGACAAGTGTTTTCCTATTTTTGGGGGAAGGTGGGGGAGAATTAGGAACTGTTCCCATTGGGAATTTTATTCCCTGTCAAATGACTTGTGTCACCTGTTTCCTTTTAGGCTACAAGGCTACGATCAGCGCCCCACACATGGTAAGGTGAAAACTCCTCACTTTCAACAGCAATGGAGGGAATTGTTTATTTCTCTTTTTATATTTAATTTTTCTTCAAGTAGAAAACTGAAACATCCCATGGACATGATTATCCTGCTTGTTTCTTTAGGGATTTTTGTTCTGTAGAGGAGTTTCCCCTGTACTCTTTCAGTTGCTTTAAAAGCATGCTTAGGTGGGAATTCCATGCTGTCCCTTTTTTTGCATGAGACCTTTTCTCCTGCTGTTTCATATCTAATTTCTGACCCACTGCCTAAATGATGTCCTGCAAAAGACCTTCCAGGTCTGACACTTGAGTATTGCTCTGGAAGTGTCAGGCACGAGGCCAGGTGTGCTGTGATTAAATCAGAAAACAAGAAAAGGTGTTGGAAGAGGAGACTAACCCCGGGATGTTTCCCTCTTCCTTGTCCTGGGTGTCCCTGCAGCACGCCCATGCGCTGGAGCTGCTCAAGGATCAGCTGGTGGAAGGTGCCAAGGCGCTGGATGTGGGATCTGGGAGTGGATACCTCACCGCGTGCTTTGCCAGGATGGTGAGCTCACGGCACTCTATTCCCAGCCTGGAACGCACATCCCTTAATTAGCTGCTATAACAGGGACTACTCAGCCCTAAAACCAAGGAAGAGGCACAGGGCTTGCACCTCCTCTTCAGAACCTCTGCTCTGGAGCTTCTCCCTGGAGATTCCCCAGTTCCCACTGAAACCTGCCCTGTCTCTTCCATATGGGAGGCACCAGGTGTTTGACTGATGTTTTTTGCAGACTGGCCCGACGGGAAAAGCTGTGGGTGTGGAGCACATCAAGGAGCTGGTGCACGAATCCATCCGGAACGTCCAAGAGGATGATCCGACACTGCTCAGCTCCGGCCGCGTGAAGCTCGTGGGTGAGCTCCCTGCAGCCCCAGGGTTTTCCCCTTGGCTCTGCTCCTCACAGCCCTTCCAGTTTGTGTTGATGCTTTGAGTTGTTATGACACAACCCAAGTGTTCCCTGGGTGCTTTCTGTCTGTAGTTGGAGATGGCAGACAGGGGTACCCCGAGGAAGCTCCTTACGACGCCATCCATGTGGGAGCGGCCGCGGCCACCGTCCCCAAGGAGGTAAGAGAGGCCATGCTGGGTTTCCCTAGAGGAAATGTGTGGGGTTTTCTGCCCTTGCTGACCGGGATGTCTCGGTGCTGCAGCTGCTGAAGGAGCTGAAGCCGGGCGGGCGGCTGATCGTGCCCGTGGGGCCCGAGGGGGCGAACCAGGTGCTGATGCAGTACGACAAGACCAGCGAGGGGCACATCGTGGAGACCCAGCTCATGGGCGTCATCTACGTCCCTCTCACAGACAAGGAGAAGCAGTGGCCTCGGTAAAACCTGCTCTTCCCTGAGGAACACTCCTTCTTCTCTCTCTCTCTGAGCTTGCTCTCCTTGGCTTTGCTGACCGACTCCTGGATCCCTGGTGGATGTTGTTTGTGGAAAAAAGGAGAGAACAGCTTGGCAAAGCAGGGGGTATTTTCTCTTTGATAGAGCTTGCAGAGTTTTATTTCCTCTTTTTCTGGAGCTTGTGTGTGTGTTTAAATTCCATGCGATGCTGGCACAGAACTGAGGGAGTAGTAACTGTTGGTTTTCCTTTGCCTCAGGGATGACCTCTGACACATGGATGGATATCTCTAAAGGCATCTCAGAAAGCTCATGAGAGGGACTTAGGCCTGTAGATGGTCAGTATGGTTTTGCTTTTTGATGGAAATTTCATCAATGGATAAAGGGAAGTTCTGCATCAGAGGAACTCGTTCTGGAGGGATGGAGAACAGGGACAGGACCAGGGGAGGCTCTTGGAGGCCGTAGCAGCTTCCAGGGAGCAGATCCAGACAACTCCAGCTTTCCTCTCTGATAAACTCTAGATAACATCAGATCACAGAGAATTCTGACAGCAGACAGGAATACCCAAAGCTTCACTAAAACCACTTTAATATCGACTACTCTGCCTAATGCTTGGCGAAAATAAGTCGCAATTAGTGTCTTGGAGCAGCAATGTACCCTGACTTGTCAGTTTTTAAAATATGGGAGCATGTTCTCTTCCTGCCTGCACCAGCTAATTTAATGATGGGCAGCAACACTGGATTTTGAGGGTATGAAAAATGCTCGGTTTTTTTCTGTTTGGAGTTTTGAAAAATTTTCATTTCTGGACTTGACCCTCATTGGGGTTACGAAAAATGCGCGTTTCTTGGCTTTTCTGATTGGGGTTTTAAAATAATGCTCATGTTTCGGCTTTTCCCTGATGCGTCCCTCCCGCAGGCCGTGACTGAGGAGGCTCACAAGGGGCAGGCTGGCTGCGGTGGCGCTCGAGGGTCATTTGTGGAGCAGTTCTGAGGGGGGAAACTGCTGGGAAGTAATAATATAAATAAATAAATAAATAAAGGTGCTCTCGCTCCTCCATCGCCTCCGCCTCACGACGCGCTGGGGGGGGGGGGCGGGAATTGGACGGGGGCGCCGGGGGTGTGGCCTGGCGGGACCGGCCCGCACTGATTGGCCTGCGCCGCCCGGCGCAGCGCGATGCGTCACGGCGTGCGGCGCGCGGTGTGGCCGGCGTGGGTGAGCGCGGCGAGGATCGGGGTCCGGCCGCCGCTGCCGTCCCGCGGCGACATGGCCGAGCGGGGACCCGGCACCGGCCGAGCCCGGGACGAGGAGCCGGGCCCCGCCGGCAAGGAGGAGGAGGCGGCGCCGGCCCCCAAGAAGCGGCGGCTGGCGGGCGGCGAGCGGTACGTGCCGCCGCCGCGGAAGCTGAACCCCGGCGTGAGCTTCGGCGCCGAGCACTTCGCCGAGACCTCGTACTACTTCGAGGGCGGCCTGCGCAAGGTGCGCCCCTACTACTTCGACTTCCGCACCTACTGCAAGGGGCGCTGGGTGGGCCGCAGCCTCCTGCACGTCTTCGGCACCGAGTTCCGAGCGCAGCCCCTCTCCTATTACCGTGCTGCCGCCCGCGCCGGCCGCCTGCGCCTCAACGAGGAGCCCGTGCGCGACCTGGACATCGTGCTCAAGGTGGGCGGGCCCGGCGTGGGCGCTCCCGGGGGGGGATCGTGGGCTGAGGACAGAGCCCGGCCTGCCCCAAGCCGTGAACATCACCCCGTGAGCGGTGCGGTCAGATAACGCAGGGCCAGGAGTTGGACTCGATAGTCCTGATGGGTTCCTTTCAATTCGACATATTTTACGATTCTGTGAACCCTGTGGAGGGGTTGAAGGGGAAAT